ACCGCCGGCGCCCGGCGCGGCTCGACGCGCCTCACGACGAGCCTCCCTGCCCAACATGGCCGCCGCCGGGCGCTTGGCGCCTTGACTGCCCTTGGACCCGCCGCGGCCGGGTGGAGGAGAAGGTTAAGGCTCAGGACACTCGCCGGGCTTGGCCTCGCTGGCAGCTGTGCTCCGTCCTCCGGGAAACGCTCTCCCTGGTGCTCGGGTTTCTTAAAAACGCTGACGTTCCTGCGCGGGGCTGCATTTGGGACAGTCGCAGCCCGGGTGTGAAGTTTTGCGGTGGAGTGACTGACGTTTTCTGGCATTCTCCTGTTTTAACAGGGTTGTATTGGGCAGGGGCATGGTAATGTCAGACAACTATAATGGGCAGTGTTTCAGATTCTTGTTCAGGCAGAGACTTAGTAGTGGCCCATATTGCGTGTGGGAAGGAACAGCAAATGGAAAAAGCCCCTCCAGAGATGGATTATTAGTGGGCCGTTGTTACTGGTCGGATCACTGTGCTGCGCCTCGGGAAGCCGGCGGGAGTCACGGGCTGCAGGAGGTTGGGCTCTGGTTGCCTGACCCACCCATTCCCAAGGGAAGGGGTGTTGGAGCCAGGAGCCCACGTGGAGGCAGAGCCGGCCCGGCCTGGCCCAAGGACATGCAGCTCAGGCTGGGCTGGCTCCATGGCACCATGTGCAGCTCCTAGCACTACAGATGGGGGCTGCACGCCATGGGGCTGGGCTGGGCTGGGCTGGCTCTGTTCCTCCAGCATTGCAGCCTTGGGAGCTGTGCACCATTGGGCCGGACTGGCCTTTTGCCTCCAGGTGCAGCTCCCTGCTGGAGTACCAGGAGCCCCATATGGAAGCACAGAGCCGGCTTGGCCCAATGGCACATGTCTCCCTGCAGTTCCCAGCACTCCAGCTGGGAGCTATGGGGAGCTGCACTTCACCAGGCTGGGCTGGCCCCGTGCTACCAGGTGTGGCTCCTGGTGCTCCAGCCAGGAGCTGCATGGCATTGGGCTGGGCTTGTTCTGTGCCTCCACATGCAGCTGCCCGCTGGAGTGCTGGGAGCCCTGTGTCATGGCATGGAGCCAGCTCGGACTGATGGTGCACGGCTCCCTGCAGCTGCTAGCACTCCGGTAGGAAGCTGTGTGCCATCAGCCCGGGAGCTACACACCATTGGACCAGGCCAGGCCGGCTCTGTGCTGCCACATGCAGCTCCCGGGACTCAGTTGGAGCTGTGCACTGCCCAGGGTGCCACCTGACACAGGCCATGAGTGCCCTGAGGGCTGCCGCTGGCACCATGGGGGAACAGGGGTATGTGACACACACCCCACACCACACCCCCACAAACCACCCAACCAAACCCCATGTATCCTTCCCCTCCACACACAATGTATTTTTTTATTAGAAAATATAAAATTTTATTCCACTTGCAAACATCCCTTTACCAGATATACATATAAACATAGATTCCCAAAATAAAACAAAATTATATATAAACTTCTCCATCTGTCTTGAATCACCCAGTTTCATAATCTATTTCCTCATGTTTATGACACATGAGCACTTATTTTCATATTGACTTAACTATTCATTTCTAAGTTTATACAACAACATAATACCTGTCTCCTTTATGTATCTGCAAATTCTTTTCTTTCTTTTACCATTTCCGTAAATTCTATCTACATGCATTTATTCGTCTATATTCATCTATGTCTACATATATACATATTTAGATTTATTCAGCCTTGACTCATCTTTCCATTTATTTTATTAAACCTCTCCCCTGAGGGGTTACATTCTTTGATTTCTTTCCCCCCCACACAATATACAAAGATAGGTTAGTACATCCCATCTTTCCCATTTCCAATGATTACTGTTTCTTCACCAGCCTTTAGATGTCTGGCAAACATCACCAAACAGGGCCTCAGACAGTTCACCCAGAATTCCTCTGCTGCCCCTCTCTCAGCCTGGCGCATATGATTAGGGTGGCTGCACCGTACATGAGATGAAGCTGGATGAGGTTGCCCTATGCCTCATCTGCTTATAAATTTTTCAGGACTCCTGGCAAGAACACACAGTTCCAGACATGTGGAGGGCTGTTCGGCATGTCGGTCCTTTGTGGGTATCTAGAATGCATGCACATCCTGAACAGTGCTGAGCTGTGGAATCACCGTGGTTTGACATGCTGTTGACTCTAGTGGGGTCCAGTCCAATGAGCCTTTTGTAAATCATGAGCCTTTTTGGCTTTGGAATGTAATGTATAGTTTATGCTATATCCTGATAGGGGTGCTACCATGATCACCAGGTTTTCCCAGAATGAAGCCTCTCTATTGCTTTCCAGGCAGGCTGACCTATGCAAGTTTCCCACATGTGGGAAAATCAGCTGCACAGTTCTGTGGTAATGGGAGATTGTGATTGTATTTTCTCCTTGGTGTGTTCCTTTGGCCTTCTGGCTAGGAGAAGCATGACTAGGAGGTATCTGAACTTGAAACACCTTTGGAATTGGTGCCTGCATGTAGGATGCTTGCTATGTATTTGGGGAGTCTCCTAAGTTCCAGATTGATGGGTCTGGGAGGGAGGAGACTTGCCCAGTGGTACAGCCACACAGATTTGAACAATTGAGCTTGGCCCAGTCAATTCGAAACTAATTTAGCCTTAAGCCAGGGAAAAAAAAGTTTGTGTTAGGTATAGAAGTGCTACTAAGTGTGTTTTATGAAATACCAATGCTAAAACTTGCAGCAGTTTCAAAAAAAGTAAATTGCATCTATTCTGGATAAACTAAGTCTATTGGTAGGATATGCAAATTAGTACAGCTATGTTTATTTCAAAGTCATTTTTTTTTTTCAAATTTATTCCATACTTGCCACTGGTCACCTTGCTGGGATCACCTGACCCTGTTATCTTTCCTGTTTGATGCAGGGTAGATTGACTCAATGATCTTCCAAGGTCCCTTCCAGCCTTGCAAACTATGAATCTATGCTGGCGGGGGGGAGCATCTACATGTTCATTAAAGTGCAGTGCCTACTGCTCATTAAATTTAGTACTTGCAAAAGGAACTACTAAATAAATGAGCAGTAGGCTGCCCTACTATGCATTAGCACGATTGCACACTTTTTTCGTGGTGGTTAATGCTCAGTAGACTAATAGTACTGCGCATTAGCCTATTAGCATGATTTTTGCTGTGACACTGTAATGCACAGTCAATCATTCTACAGCCATTAAGTGTCTAATGTAGATATGCCCAGGGAGAGCAGAGTCTGACAGGAGTGGGCGGGAGGAGCTGTAGGGGGAAGAAGTTAGGGGGAGGGAGCGCAAAGGGTAAAGAGGCTGCCTTCTCCCTCCTTCCTCCCCCAATTTATTTCCCTGCTATAACAGTCGGAGAGGAACAAATTCAAGACAAACCTCCAATAATTTGATTATCTAATTTTTAATTTATAAATCTAAATTTTAAAATGTTCCAGGTATGGAGTCTAATTATTGGAGGGCCGTCTTATAACCAGAATTGAGTAAATGCAGTTCATAACTCCGAAGAAGGCTTAGATATGACACAGAGAAGTACAGTTATGTAAGTCACATTAATAAAAACTAAGACAATGGTTCTCAACCTTCTTAGGCTCAAGGCACCACTCGGAAAATGCCAGCCCTTAGCTTTCTCTCATTTTTTGACTATGGAAAAATACTAAAGCAATTATTCTGCTGCAAAGAACTTGGACCACAGTGGGTCAGAATGTTTTTGACATGATGGATTCTCATTTGAAATCTCTGGGTTTTTGTGAATCATGTGTAGGGGTTTGCATACTTAACAGCTGAAATTGCATGGCACCCTGCAGTACCCTAAAAGGGATCTCATGTCACTGCAGGGATTTGCAGCACCCTTGTTGAGAATCACTGATCTAAGGGCTATCTGCATGGAGCAAGGAGCATCTGGGCAGATACTCCTGTAGCTTTACATGTACTAGCTCTTGAAATGGAAGTGCTCTAGCCATGTTCCTATGGCACTGCACTTCAGTTAATGAGCTCCTCTTCTCAGCACAGCTACTTTGGGTTTGCCAGACCAGTTATTACAGCATATATGTTAGCAGTCTTGGGGTTGCTCTCTTTCTCAAATAATATGGCGTTCAGTGTACTGGTAATTGTTAAAAAGTTGAAGCTGGTAACAATTTGGGTAAAACAAACTATGAATGAATGTCTAATTTAAACCATTTTCATGTTCTTCAATGATCATTTCCATATTATAATTGTATGAAAATTTTTTATTTATTTTTCTTTAGTCCCTGGCGGATTGTAGATGACTGTGGTGGTGCCTTTACAATGGGAGCCATAGGTGGTGGCATCTTCCAAGCTGTTAAAGGGTTCAGAAATTCTCCAGTGGTGAGTAAAATAATTTTTGTATGTAAACTCTCAGCAGCTTTCGCTCCTTTTTCATGCAGCAGTGAAATTTGGAAGGAGCTAGTAGGGATGGCATCTCTATATGCTTATCTTTACAGAGATTAGCCTCTAGTTGTGTTAAGGATAGGATTTAGTCCACTGAACAAAAAGGTTGCAGGCCAGGAAAATAAATCTGATGAACATCCCTGGTTCTGGGTGGTCCATCTTTGTTAAAGCTCTCTTCTTCCACTGCAGGTCTGTGCCCTTTCTGTTCCTATCATCCTCAACAGTGTGGTCCTAATAGTGTGGCCCCCACCTTTTAAGGGGCATCTTTCAGAATGGGTTGAGTGGGGAAAGGATACAGCAGGATGATAGTCTGCATACCTGTTATCTTTGTGCCTTTAGTTTCATTTGGCTCAACAAGGAAAGATATGCGTCCTTGACCCCAGACTTAGCTTGTCCCTTTCTGTTCTGGCTCACTTCCTTTCCCATTCTGTTTCCTCTCCCTTTATGTGAAAACTCAATGTCCTTTTGCATAGGGAGATGAAGGGAGGGTGTAAGAGGCTTGTGTCTGCAAGGAATGGAAGCAACCAGAATGAATCGGATATCTCATTTAGATTGTCAGTCCTAACTTTTTTGAGGGATGTTACTGGCTTACCAACCACTTTTGACCTCTGCTGCTATTAAATCTAATTAAAAAAGCCAATTTTTATTTAAATGATTATTTGTTTTTGTTGCATTTATACACTTCTGCATTGGTCTAAATTTGGCTGATGAAAATCAGGGGTTTTTTTTAATCTTCAAGGTCATTGCTGTTGTGTTTGGACTACTAACGCTGCAGTGGATGTTTATTTGCATAAAATAAAGACTAGTTAGGAATTTAAAGAAAGCCATCTCTCTTGGGATTAAAGTTACCAAAACGGGCTCCTGCACAATCTAAGTTTGTTTTACCTTTAATGTAACATTATACTTTTAAACATCAACATGAATGACTTTTCCAGTTTGCTTTGTAAGTCAAATTATTCTTTTCCATGTTTGGCTTGATTCTACTTATACTGAGCCACCTACATTGTATATGGCTAGTCCTGTTAAGTTAATAGAATGATGTATATGATTAAAAGTGTGCATATTCATAAGTGTTTAATTAGGACTTTCTAGGAGTGCAGTGATAAAGATTTTTTGTGCCGATGCCGATGGCCCATTATTAACAAGCC